AGAGTGCTATTTGTGTGGCTGCCTATGTAGAGCACTTATGCAGTCCCATGACAGTTAGGATGCTCCCTTAGAAGGTAGCTGCTTAGACAACAAAACGGCTTGCTAGGTTTTGGAACAGAGCTTATATTTTACGTTTAATAAGCAAACAGGGAAGAAGGTGTTTATTTTAGAATCAGCGATGAAGGCATTGTGCATGTTAGTATAATTTGAATTTGCGATGTGCCAGGGATATTAGCTCAAACTATAAAGAAGCATATTTGTTACTTGACATAAAATAAGCGTTAACTGAAATAAAATAAAATAAAAAAATAAAAAAAACTTGAACTTATTTCATTTCTGTTAGTTGCCAAGGCAACATTTCTAATTGTCATTTAGTTCAACATGATGTACTGAAATCACTAAAATCAAAATTAATATAGACATTAAAAACTATACTAATACTAGCTCAGTGATACTAAAATAACACTTCAGTGTGCATTTTATTATAATAATATCAAGATATATCTAATTTTGATGAATGCAGCTTCTTCTTGATTCGTTTTTGTACATGCTCTTCTATACGAGTATGCTTTGCTCTAGGTGAACCTTGTTTTTATTTATATGTAAATATGTGTAAATTATACACCCCTGAGGTACTCCCATTAAGAGCAGGTCTTCTTTCTGCTTACCTTGGCTGTGTTTTTTTTTTGTTTTTTTGCTGAAGCACACCGTAGTTTACTGCTTATTAGCTCCAGAATAGAATATTTTGGTGTGTGTTTATGGTGTGTGTAGAGAAAGAAAGAGCTGCTGCAAACCTGCATATTGGAGATTTAATCCCAAATCACAGTGTATTCTGTGTCTGAACCGGCCACAATTCAGTAGTCAGCGGCTGTTGCTCGGCAACATGCACCACAGTCCAACATCTTGTGAAGTGAAGAGCCAAGCTGCTGCTTTCCATCTCACCCTTGAACCGCTCTCTCTCTCTCTCTCTCTCTCTCTCTCTCTCTCTATTCATTTGCTCTTCATTCCTCCCTACTGAGACTGTTGCTCATCAGGCATTTCACATGTTCTCCTGTTTCTCTTGTCTATTCTTCCTATTAAGTTTCTTCTCACTCCGATAAGCCACATGTTGTGCTCTGGAACATCTCATTATTGTTCATATATACACAAACTGCTTGTCTATCTCGTCATCTTTCTGTCTTTCAGAATGCTGTACGAGTGCATCTCAGCCCTCTAGAGTACTGGGAGAAGGCAAAAATGGGGACAAATAGGGACATTATGTTCTTGTGTAAGAGTCATTATGTTCTGCGTTGTCTGTCTTTCCCTCTCGCTCTGTCTTTCTCTCGCTCTCTTCATCTGACTGTGCCATGACGTCTTTTAGTGGAGTCAGAAAAGTGCCAAAGATTTGTTGAAATGCTGTCTCTGTTCACACACATTTGCTTCTTCACATTGAGAAGAAAAAGAAATGCATAAAAAAAAAAGAAATGCATAAATCTTGCATATCGCCATTGTGTCTGCTGGGTGAGTGCTTTCTAATTTATTTATTTTTTTGTTTGTTTGTTTTATTTACCCTCCCCCAGACCCGTCAAATGGCCAAGGGCCCCTGAATCAATAACAAATTAGAAATTGGTTTATTTTAGCTCATGATAAACTGGATAGCATTAGCATTAATGAAGTAAAGAGTTTCATAAATAAGCATATTCCTCTACAATAGTGGTTCTCAACCAGGGGGCCGTGGCCCACTAGGGGGCCTCAGCAAACTTCCTAGGGGGATGCGGGATGCCTTAAAAATATGTAAACTAAATTATTGTTAATATATTACAATAATATAACTAATATAAAAAACTAAAAAACACATAAAATCAACTAATATGTTTAAAATTATATTTATTTTCCCTCAATATCTATTGTAATAATTGAAGAACAAGCAGTTTTTGAAATTTCTGGAGTCACAAAATGAATTGTGGTTAATTAATTTATCAATACTAGCAGTTTCCAATAATAAAAAAGTGTGAAATAAAGTGGATTTGTCATAATTACAACAGAAATGCTGAAAAGACACGTTTTTGTTTTCTAGTCTTAAATAACCTAAATTTGTTAACTACAAAAAAAATCATTCGAATAATCATGATTAATTACTTTAATCTATTGATAGCGCTAATATTTGTCATTTTTAAGGTCTATTTTATAAGTATAACAAAGCTACAGGAATTGTTTTGCTTTTCTCTAGAGAAAAAGGCTGTAGTAATCTTACGTGTCTCCTCAGATGTCTCAGAAAAGATCTCAGCAGTGTTTCACATTGTCCTCGGTTTTCCCAAAATAGCAAAGTCTGCATTCAAAAGACAGAGCATCACTTTGTTTTAAGAAGTGGTGTGGACAGTTGGAGAACACAGATTTGTGCTGTTTGTGATTTCACACAATGGTGATGGCTTGGCTCATGAATATTAATTACCTTATGCAGAAATTATTTAACATAATCTTTCACTGTTTTGACAACAAAATGTCTATATGAGGTATTGATCTTGGAGATCAAGTAGCCTATTTGTTTATTTCTATGTCAGGACAGGAATTTTGCAAATTTGTAAAAATAATTTCAGTGCCATTTTGGGTTTCATTGTGTTGCTATTTTTATTTTTATTTTTATTTTTTTTGTGTGTGATGTTGCCTCTTTGCATATGAGGGGATCTGGGTTCTAGTCCCCCTTAATCTAAGTTTTTATTTTAATAAACCGAAAATGTAGTTGTACGTTTTATAAATAAATGTTGATGCATTTGTCTTCAGTGGAATGGATAGCAAGCCACAGAAAAGCTGTGTGAACATTGCTGTCGGTGCTTTCCAGTGATTGATAACTACAATAAAATGGTTTTATGCTGTACATGCTAAAGACTAGCTGACTAGCAGCAGTATATATTAATGGGGTTTCTGAATGTCTTGTACTGTACACATATCTTACATTATAAGCAACATATGAAACATTAATATGCGGTCATATTTAGCATCGTTCTGTGAATTTACATCCAGTCATTTCAATAGGAATCAACACGATTGGGAATTTCATGTGAGGGTAAAATATTTCCTAATTGGTTCTGACCAACAGAAAGCTGCTTGGTTTGAAAGTGACATCAGTGTGAGCTGTGTTTCATACATTTCTACACTACTGACAATAAGCAATGGACCTTTTTTTCCAGTGAAATTTCACTAATGTGAATTATGTTTAGATTTATTAAAATTCACATGACCAAGCAGACCAAACATATGCAAAAGCAACGCAAGCACACACACAATTGAATGGTCTGTTTTCTTAACGCTGTTAAAATCCTATGCTAGGCCTAGTCTCATTATCCCAGCAGCAGGAACATGAGATTTCTCTTTTTTCCCCCTCAAGTCAAACATGAATTATTTAGCTTTGTGTTGATCACGTTGAGTCTCTGCCCCGAGCTTCCCTCCCCAGTTCCCCTACTGTATTTCTCTCTCTCTGTGTGTGTATGTTGTTGCTAGCCTCTACTCAGCGATCCAAAATGCATGTTTTTCTCACAGAATTACCCATATCTCAGAAGTCTTATTCTGAAATCCTGCTCTGAGTGACTATGTCATCGTGTAGCTATCCGAACAATATGTAGCATTTCTTCTCAATGGCACTGTAACTGCACTCAGTAATTATTTCTGCACAGTGTGGGGTGAATCTTCACTAGCACACATGCGTAAATAATTCACCATGCCAATGTTTTGTTGAAGCCAAGTCCCACATTATCAGTGTACACATTAGTGAGTCATAACTGAAAGAAACTGCATTTGCCCCAATTTTCGGTGCAGATATTGTTTTCTCCGTCTAATTTCTACATTTAATTTTCACTCGTCTGCCGCACCTTTATGAATTATTCACATCCAGCTCTTTGGAAGCTTAATAAGCAGCTGTTATTATGACTTGTCAGTCAACTAACTCATAGCAGTTGTGTCTTTGTTTTTTGTGATAAAGGCCAATTTTGCATTGCTGTAAGTGAGCTTAACGAGCAAGCAATGATGCTAGGCAGCCATGATTAAAGAAAAACAGTTTTGTGAGGAGTTAAGTTAACAGAGAGTCATTTATGTTCTCAGAGTGGGTCATCTAGGCTGACTCTAACTATCATCTAATTAATAAGTGAGGTTTGTTTGTTTTTTTGTTTTTTTCCTATTTTTATTTTTTGTGATGGTGCTTTATTTAGCATGTTAACTATTAGCATGCTAACTCCATCCAGCTGTTGTTGAACATCCTCCATCTTACGTTTCTTTTTGAAAGAAATTATACTTTTTTCATTAAGAATGCATTCAGTTGAACAGTGACAGGAAATACTTGTTGGAGATGTTAGAAAAGATTTCTGTTTCAAATAAATGCTGTTGTTGTGAACGTTCTATATATCAAAGAAACCCAGGAAAAAATTGTCATGGTTTCCTCAAAAATATTAAGCTGCACAGCTGTTTTTAAGATTGATAATAATAAGAACTATTTCTTAAGCACCAAATCAGCATATTATAATGATTTATGAAGGATTCTGATTCTGAATGATTTCTAAAGACCAGAGTTATTATAATAACTAAAACTAAAAAAATTTTTTGTTACTTTAAATAACATAGATGTTAATGGAAGTAAAATAATTTTAAGTTATAATGAATGTAATGAATTTTATTTGAAATTGTATTAATATTTCACAATATTACTGTTTTTACTTAAATTTTGATCAAATAAATGCAGCCCTGGTGAGCATAAAATACTTATAAAATACATTTAGAAAAAACTGTCTTCGGGCATCTTTTTGGATTTTAACAAACAAATTCTTCAACCTGTATTTTTCCAACATACGGTACTACTGTTGATAAACATATTGTGTGGTCTCAGAAAGTATCTGAATCATAAAATGATGTAGTTACAAAATATCCCCAGAGAATAGCTGCAACTGACCATTGGGTTATACTTACACAACATATCAAAAGTGACTGTAACAATCAAGTTCTGTTATTTTCTTTCTGTTTTGTGTTCCTCTCAGCCGTTCCCTTCCCCCTGAGTCATCGTCTCACCATGAAGGAGGTGTTTGACTGTGAGGGGAAACCAAGGGTGGATCTACTGAAAGCCCACCTCACTAAAGAGGGCCGAGTGGAGGAGACCGTGGCCCTCCGAATCGTAAACGAAGGGGCCTCTATCTTACGACAGGAGAAGACCATGCTGGACATAGAGGCACCTGTCACAGGTACATCCTAATTCTTTCCTCCTTGTTAAAGGCTATTATGGCGGCACATTCACCTCACGTTCAATATGAAGATAAATATACAAAGTAGTAAAGTGGATGGTTTCGTTTGACATGCATTTGAGTGACTATGTGTGCTGTTTTGCAGCATTGAATGTGTGATGTCTGTCCCTGTGCTCAGAATATTTGCCCAGATCAGCCAAAATTAGGCCAAGTGAAGTTTATGCCTGCCGATTGTCTATTATTAATATCAAAGGGATATGAAATATGCAGGAGGCACAGTGTACACAAAGACCTGTCATTGTCAGTAGATCCGCTTCCTTTGTGATGCAGCATAATGGCAAACAAAGACATATCTTTTGCCGTTTGTCACTACCTTCACCCAGCTGTATGGCCATCACCTCATGCTATTGTTAATCAAGACTGCTTACACAATCACACAGTCTCACCATGAAGGAGGTGTTTGACTGTGAGGGGAAACCAAGGGTGGATCTACTGAAAGCCCACCTCACTAAAGAGGGCCGAGTGGAGGAGACCGTGGCCCTCCGAATCGTAAACGAAGGGGCCTCTATCTTACGACAGGAGAAGACCATGCTGGACATAGAGGCACCTGTCACAGGTACATCCTAATTCTTTCCTCCTTGTTAAAGGCTATTATGGCGGCACATTCACCTCACGTTCAATATGAAGATAAATATACAAAGTAGTAAAGTGGATGGTTTCGTTTGACATGCATTTGAGTGACTATGTGTGCTGTTTTGCAGCAGGTTTGGATATATTTTCAGACAGTAGTCGATAAAGACTGTCTGTGCATGAGCATCAGTGTGTGTACTTAATGCAGTTTGTTATCTGACGCCGTCTGCATGTGTTAACTGTATATCCGTGACAACCTGCTTTGATACCGTCAGCAAACAGGACTAAAGAGAAGCGAGACAACGAGAGAATGCACAATCCTGACCTCAAATACAGAAATAAACTCCAAAACACCCGACTGGGAGTTCAAAGAATGAACAAGGCTGACAAAAACAAAAGGCAAAGTGAGCAAGCGCTCAAGGGGTTTCCGTATGAAGTTTACCTGTGAAGGTAGCTGTCACTTTGAAGTTCGATCCCTTGTATACATGTGAACGTATATATGTGTGCATTTCTCCGGTATATTAATTCCCTTCTTACCTGTCATCACATCAGCTATGAGGGAATAGAGGAAAAATAGTTGTAAATTAAAACTAGGGTAATGTACGTACCATGGAAAGCATGTCTTTGTCTTTTTGATGGCTTGTGCGTCTCTGCGTCTGAATACTGAATGTGAAGCGCTTTTTCGCTTTTATTATCAGTGTCTGTGGATAATCAATAGAGTTGACTACTTGATACCCGCGTCCATCTGCAGGAGTGTGTCAGCACACCAGCTGGCCGTGATTTCCACTGTCTCATCCACGTATGAGCCGCTTACTCCTGAAAGAAACAGGCCCTTGTGTAACAGCACCAAAAAAAAAATACAAATACGCAGAGATAATGGACATAGCTTGATTAATTTTTCTTTGTAATGTGATTCTGCTCACCCAAATGGTACCGCTGGCGAAATTACAGTATTTTTAATGCTATTTTTAGTGTTTTGGTTTATTTCATTTTTAATGTGTGCTATAGGAGTGAAGTTACCATTTACACTGCAAAAACATTTTCTTTATTAGTACATTTGTCTTGTTTTGTAGTGTAAGGATTAAACAAATCTGATTAAACATGATAAAGTTACTTGAAAAGCAAAATTTTACATATATTAATGTTTAGTTTCAAAGAATATATCTTGAATTAAATTTATTATTTTTCTTACTCTGTTGGCAAATATTTTTCTCTTGTTTAAAGCATAAACCTAAGTTTTTCTAGATTTATAAAATATGCATTCTATGCAAATATGCATGCAAACATTAATAATAATAATTGATATTAATGTTGTGTGTGTGTGAATTTTATTGTTTTATTACTATTGTATTAGAATTGTATTTTTTTCTGGAAAACAAGAGAAAAATATTGATTACATTTTTTTATTTTTTATTTTTTGCAGTACGGGTGGGCTGTAAAACTGAGACTAACTTGTGTTAAAATCACTGCACCAAAGGCCATTTTTGGCAGCCGAAAATGTCACATGGTCACAAGCTTCAGTGCATCAGGAGTCACTCACCGCTGTGTTTTAAGACACAAAGCATTTGAGTTCACCCCGGTTCAGTCGCAGTCTCACAGGAAGAGTTCAGTTCCACTCTGCCCTTAGATTTGTCTGGTACAGTGCAGCTGTTAAAATCCATCAGTTGATCAGAGCGACCTGCAGAGCGAGAGAGAGATAAAGAGAAAGAGAGAGAGCGTTTCTCTGCTGCAGAACACACCTACACCTCTGAGTCATCTGCATCTAACAGCTCAATATTCTCTCTCTCCCTCTCTCTATAAATCTCTTCCCATCATCCAGTTATGCTTGCACCCTGTGTGCCTGCAGTGGGTGATGTGAGAATAAGCATCTCCCCCCTCCACACTCAGCACTGCACATCCACTGCCACACATGAAGAGAGATACATACAATTATCACCATTTAGAGTTTACTGT